TCAGATAGGAACCGTGGTTTGTATGTTGGCGAAGGCTGTGTAGCAATAACTCTACTCTTTCATTTCTTTGTATGTCCATCTTATTCTTACTTGTCTGTGTTCTACAGGTGACTCGGGACCAGATGAAGGTGTTTATACAGCAGGAATTTAAGAAAGTTCAGAAAGTGATTGCTGATGAGGAGCAGAAGGCCCTTCATCTAGTGGACATCCAGGAAGCAATGGCCACAGCTCATGTGACTGAGATACTGGCAGACATCCAATCCCACATGGATAGGTTGATGACTCAGATGGCCCAAGCCAAGGAACAACTTGATACCTCTAATGAATCAGCTGAGCCAAAGGCAGAGGTAAACAAAAATACCCATAATTAGTAGTAGTAGGAGAAAAAGGAGGAAACTGCCACATTTGCTAGCTCTGGAAATGCTCCCTTGTGGTCCAGGAACATGAATAAATTGAAAGCTTAGATAGGCTATAAGTATTTCAACTGGTATATAAACCAGTATGGAAGTATTGGCCACTAGGGCACCCAGTGGCTGGGCCTGGCAGAGTATTTACCCATCGTGACTTAAAGGAGTATAGTCAGTTAGGCAGATACTAATCACGGTGAAGGAGGGAAGTTAGAAATCAGAGCCAGAGAGAAGAGAGCAGGTGACAGATCCCAAGTTGTGAAATGAGCATATGAATGAAGTCATAATAGAGATGAGAACTGGACTGAATGAGAACGAATCAGGAAGTGGAGCATAAAGCAGGCCGAATGAAAGATTTTGGACTTACTCTGTGAATAGGAAAAGGGTGCCTCAGGAGCTACTCATATAAATTGGGACATAACTGCTGGATTAGTAGTGGCATGTGGCCGGGCACGGTGGCACACGCCTATAATCATAGCACTTTGGGAGGTCGAGGCAGGAGGATTGCTTGACGTTAGTTCAAGACCTGCCTGAGCAAGAGCAAGACCCCCATCTCTGTGAAAAACAGAAAAATTAGCTGGGCATGGTGGTGCATGCCTGTAGTCCCAGCTACTTGGAAGGGTGAAACAGGAGGATTGCTTGAGCCCAGGAGTTTGAGGTTACAGTGAGCTATGGTCATGCCACTGCACTCTAACCAGGATGAAAGAGTGAGACCCTGTCTCCAAAAAAACAAAAGTGACACATGGGGTAGGGCATTGTAAGGATTGAAAAAGTGCAAAAAACCAAAAAAACAAAATTGAAAGATACAAGGTAAATGTTGAATCACTGTATAAATGTGAATTACTAATAGTCATTGTTATTTTGTAACAGGAATAAAAGGATCTTAAGCAATTTACCAAACAACGTATTTAGGCATTTTGAATCTATTTCTAAAAAATAATGTAAGGCAGCCATTAAAAAAAAAAAAACAGAAAACTTACATTTCATCCACTAGGGAGCGGCTTCTGTTCATCAGATTCCATAGCATTATGTTGAAAATTCTGGTCAAGCCAATGCCAGATAGGTTTAGGGTAGGTCCTTTCAGAAGAAAATCTAGATAGTCCTGTGGACTTTACAGGACTGCTGCTGACTTAGTGAGTTCAGCCTTAACTGGCAGTCTTGCCTTGGCTTGGGAGAGAATAAACTAGCCAACAGAACAATAAACTAGCCAATAGAAGAATAAACTAGCCAACAGAAGAGCCAAGGTAATCCAGGAGGCAGGTATTATCCAAATCATCTTGACAGGAAATGTCAGTTACCTGCTGTACCTATCCATGGCTCTTGATTGACACATTAACTGCCATGTTTTGAGCCTGGGGCCTTGTGAAGCATATGTAACTCACCTGTCTCTACTTTGGGAGCCACATGAACTGTTTTTCAATTTACATATCACTCATGCACAGAAAACAATAAAAAATAACAAATTTTTCATTAAATTAGATGGGATCATTTTCTTTTTGAAGGTTTTATTCTACTTTCGTAATAAAACACTATGGCCCCAAGGAAAATTTTTTTTTTTCTAGTGTTTCAGTCAATCTGTTAATTTTCATCATGTGTGAAAAGAATAGCTCCTGTTCTTTTACATTTTATCCTCCCCGGAATAAATTATGTGTGTAAATAAGAAATTATGTGTGTAAATAAGTTTCTAGATGGCAAAGAAAGCATTTTATATTTGTCATTTCATTTAATCCTTATGTCAGCATTCATTAATTCCATTTTACAGATGAGATATTGAGATGCCAAGAACTGCAGAGACACTGACCTACTGTCATTTAGTTAGCAGAAAACAGAGCCAGGATTTAGATTTAAGTCTGTCCTACTGCAGGGCCTGTGCTTTTTCCCTACTGTGTGCTTTATACTAAGTGTCCTATTAGTATTTGTGGGAAAAATTAGGAGAATCAGTGTTCTAGACAGTTTGCATTACCTAAGACCTTTTACAATGTTGAGGTGATCACTTCGTGTCTTCTTTTTTGTTTTGTTTTGTTTTGTTTTTTGAGACAAGGTCTTGCTCTGTCTCCTGGGCTAGAGAACAGTGGCATCATCATAGCTCACTGCAACCTCAAACTCCTGGGCTCAAGCAATCCTCCTGCCTTAGCCTTCTGAGTAGCTGGGGCTTTAGGTGTATGCCACCACACCCAGCTAATTTTTCTGTTTTTTGTGGAGATGGGGTTTTGTTCTTGCTTATGCTTGTTTTGTGTCTTAATAAACAAAAAGTTCAACCAGAGTTAACTCAAGGGATTAATAGTATAACTCTTTCCCAAATTCCTCTCAAATTGGACTCCCACGTTTATTCTATATGTTGATTCGGTTGTTCTTTCAAAAATGAAGGTTTAATTTTGAGACTTAGCCCCTCTCTTTTATTTTTATTTCAGATAGTGAATTCAGTCCTTCTGGAACATTAATTGTCCTTTAAGTACCTCAGCTGCACTATGCTTGTTAACTCTGATGGAATTACTCTTATGGGGATGCAGAAGCTGACAAGGCTTAAGGACCAGGCTGTGGACAAAATAAGCTGTTGAAAACAAGAAGTAATATTCAGCTGGCTAGAGCATTTACAAAGAGCTGTTATTATCTAATAGCCTCTTGTTCCAGTTAATCTGGTAACTTAATGGTCAGAGCAAATATTCAGTACCTGTCTGTCACTCAACAGAGGAATTCTGTTCTTCCCTTTGCATATTATGGAATTTTTAAAAAAAAAAATCACCTGCATTTTGAATTGAGCCAAAAGATTTTCCCTCCCAACACTTTATTATAAAATTTTCCAAATATATAGCAAAGTTGAAAGGATTTTATAGGTTATACCAGTATACCTGCCACCTAGATTCCACCATTAACATTTTGCCATACTCGGTTCATTGCAATTGTAGCCATCTTTCCAATCTTCCACTCATCAATCCATTTTATTTTTGATGCCTTTAAAGCAAAGTGCAATTTCTCGTTGCGAATAAGATGCAGTTAAACACATTCCATTTTACTCCTTCCACTAATCACAGGAAAAATCCCTGGGCAAAAATACTGAAGTAACCTACCAGAAGACTCTTAAAGGTGGAGAAAAGATGACAGACTGACTGGAGACCTTGGGACTTGAGGGAATACAAAGCAGTGAATTCTCTGGGGTTTTCCTTGCTTCCTATATATCCTGGCCTCTGTGCTCTGCAAACTGGAAACACTAATGGACACAGACAAAAAGAAAACACCCAAGAAAAGCCAGTTTTCTCTGGCCAAAATACTGGGAAAAGGATGGTAGTTCAGTCATAGAGAAACCTTTTGATTATACCTGCCTATTCTGGGGATGAGCACCATGAAAAAAGTTATTCTCCAATCCCAATTGGCACTGCAGCTGTGGAACAAAACCTCTTTTATATCCTCCTCTGCAGTAATGAGATATCTTTCTTTCTCCACAGAGCCTAAGGGTGAAACTCTGACTTTCACTTTTGTCTCTGCTCCTCTCAATAATAAGTGGTGCCCATCTCCCAAGCACCTGTTGGTGGAACTCTGACTTCCATCCTGCCCTGCAGTAACAGTAAGAAGGTAGTACCCCTGCCCTCTGGAGACTGCAGATAGAGCTCTAACTCCTCCCTCTTACCACTGCATTAACTAAGCATTGCCCCTCCCCAGCTGAGTTAGTGGGTAGAACTTTATCTTCCACTCCTGCCATGTAGTGATGGATTGGTATCCTCCTCTTCCCCAGCTAGCTCTGTGGAGACTATAGAGTCGAGTCCTGTCATCTGAATGGGCCAGAGCAGAATAGCACTGTAGAGGCTTTATAAACGAAGTTAGCATTTGAACCATAGTCTACAAAAGTGATCCAGGACATGTATTCTGAGTGTAAACAGAATGACTGCTAAAATAGAAGATTTAAATAGGAACTAGATTTTTGTAATATAACTCAATATGTTCAGGATATAGTTCAAAATTACTTATTATACCAAGAACCAATAAAATTTCAACTCTAAGGAGAAAAGACAATATATGCCAACACCAAGATGGCACAGATACTGGAATTATCAGATGAGGGTTTTAAACCTGCTGTCATAAAAATATCTCACTGAGCAATTACAAACACGCTGGAAACAAAAATAGAAAATCTCAACAAAGAAATAGAAGATACAAAAAAGGACCAAATGAAAATTTTAGAATTGAGAAATACAATAACTGACATAAAAAATTCACTGGATGGGTTCAATGGCAAATTGGAGGAAAGATTTGGTGAATTAGACATTGATATTGATCCAATCCAAACAACCAAAAAAAAAAAAATATCGAAAAATAACTTGCCTTTAGGGACCTGTGAGACAATGATAAAGGGTCATGGGAGAAAAAGGAATGTGGGACTGACAAAAAATGTTTATAGAAATAATGGCTCAAAATGTTAAAAAATTTGATTGAAAGACATAAACCTGTAGATTTAAGAGGCTAAGTGAACCTGAACAAGATAAACTCTAAGAAATCCTCACCCAGATGCATCAAAATCAAACTTCTGAAAACTAATCACAAAGAAAAAAATCTTGAAGGTAGAGGAGCTAAAGAGAAATGACATTAGCTATGGAGAAAAATATGAATGAACATGTCTCTATTTGTAAGTCTGATTTTATGGTTTATAGTTTTCATTTAAAGGTCTTGAATGGCTTTTGTTAAATTTGTTCCTAGGTATTTAATATTTTTGATGCCATTAAAATGGAATAATTTTAAAACTTTATTTTTCAGACTTTTTATGTTAGTATATAGAAATACAGTTGATTTTTTATATATTAACCTTGTATCTTGCCAAAATCACCTGTTAGTTATAGTAGTGATTTTATGGATTTTCTACTTTGACAGTCATGCCATCTGTAAGTACAGACAGTTTTACTTTTTCCTTTCCAATCTTTATGCCTTTTCTTTCTTTTTCTTGCCTTATTGCAATGGCTTGGACTTCCAGTGTGCTATGTCTAACGTAAATGGTAATAGTGGGCATCCTTCCCTTGTTCTTAATCTTAGAAGGAAAGTATTCAGTATTTTTCTGTTAAGTGTGATGTTTTTATTAGATGCCTTTTTTTTTTTTTTTTTTTTTGAGACAGAGTCTCACTCTGTTGCCCTGGCTAGAGTGAGTGCCGTGGTGTCAGCCTAGCTCACAGCAACCTCAAACTCCTGGGCTCAAGTGATCCTACTGCCCCAGCCTCCCGAGTAGCTGGGACTACAGGCATGCGCCACCATGCCCAGCTAATTTTTTCTATATATTTTTAGTTGGCCGATTAATTTCTTTCTAATTTTAGTAGAGGCGGGGTCTCGCTCTTGCTCAGGCTGGTTTCGAACTCCTGAGCTCAAACAATCCGCCCGCCTCGGCCTCCCAGAGAACTAGGATTACAGGCGTGAGCCACCGCGCCCGGCCTAGATGCCTTTTATCAGATTGAGGATGTGCCCTTCTATTCCTCATGTGCTGAGGGTTTTTATCATGAGTTGATGTTGAATTTTGGGAGATATTTCTTCTGTATCTACTGAAATGGTCATATGGGTTGTATCCATGATTGTATTGCAATGGTTAATTACACTGGTTAATTTTACAATATTAAACCAACCTTGCATTTCTGAGATAAACTCCCACTTGGTCATGATGTATTATCTGGGTTCAGCTTGCTAATATTTTGTTAAGGGGTTTCATGTCTTTGTTTATGAGGGATATTGGTCTGTATTTTTATATTTTTCTGATGTTATTGTCAGGTTTTGGTATTAGGGTTATATTGGCTTCATAAAACAAAGTTGGGAAGTATTCCTTTCTGCTTTATTTTCTGACTTTCTCTTTTTTGCTGAATTTAGTTACATCATTTTTTAAAACTCTTTGCCAAAGTCAAGTATTAAAAAAATATTTGTATATCATGGGCATTTTCATCTTTTGTCCAGTTTTGAAAGGAGAGCACTGAATTGCAGTGAGTTGATACTGGAAAATGTTGTTTCGGATGGGGAAATTATTAAAAATGATGCATGCATACCTTAAGCATATATTTTAAACTTGAAACATATATATGTACATTTTTTTGATTCTGAGGCAAGGTCATTTCTTTGAAAATATGGGGTTGCTAATTGGAATTGAATGTCATGTTTCTGGCATAAACCACACCTATATTCTACCATTTATAAGGTCCAATTTCAATATCTTTTATAATGAAGGGGATATCATTCAAAGCAAGCTGAATGCAGAATGTTAGATTTTTATAATTTATTTTTTCTAGTATTTTGCATGTATTTCACTTATATTAAAATTGATAGCAATTTTTACATAATTCACTTTATTGAATACTGTGGATACATTCAAATTAGTTTTCATGAAAGCAACAACTCGAGGAAGGCAACACTTGTCTCTCTTGCACTCATTTTTTGTTATTTAATTAAATATGTCATTATAATTACAAGTTCAACTGGTATAGACAGGTTTGGAATTAAACTTGATTCTTGGTAAATGACTTTTCCATGGTGGAAGTAGAACTGAGAGGTTGCAGGAGAGTGTAGTTTGCCAACCAAGAGCATTCAGGATGTTTTAAGGAGGAGTTTGGCAGCACTACTTAAATGCAACAAGTCATTTAAATGGAAGTTGGTATGTAAGCGACTCTGACTGCTAATATTCCTTGAAACCAGAATTCACTTGTAATGGGGGTAGAAATTAATCTTAAATCCTATTTATATCTTCACTGCCTTCTTTTCCTTTCTTAATTATTAATTATGTACCTTGTGCTGTGTTAGGTGCAGTGAATACGGAGGTGAACAAAACATAGTTTCTGTTTTCAAGGAATTGAAATCCAAAGAGGGAGGGAGGTACTGTGTGGTGGTGTCGCTGTCAGTTCTCTTCTCTAAGTAGGAGCCTAGAAGGGTAAACCTTACAGATGTGCAGGACAGAGGAAGATTAACCCACTCAAGCTGTTAGAAAGTTTCCCAGTGAGGCTCGATCTTAAAGGATGGTTAGGATGGTTAGGAATTAGGTAGGCTTTCAGAATAGGGATGCGTATTTCAGGGAGCAGGGACAGCACATGGCACATCTTTTACTAGCAAGATTAGCAATCCTCTGAATGTCTGCTGACCTTTTCAGAATGGCCTTGCAATTTATATGTGTGTTTGTTCTTGCTTTGTGATAGTGACTATTGTTTCTGAAAAGATGCCTGCATCATAAACAACAGGAATGGATGAACATGTTGCAAAACCTTGTGCCTCATCTTTTCTGTCCTTTCCCCATTCTCCCCTAGAAATGTTATTAACAGTTCAGGGAAAGTACAATAATGGACACCATTTGCTGAACACTTACAGTGTAATAGATGCTTGCTTAGTATTTTACATAGATTTTTCTCATTTTAATCCATATAGTGGCCCTTTGAGGTAAGAATTAGGATTTCCACGGGCACATGAAGAAATTGAACCTTGGAAAAGTTAAGTGCCTTGCCAAAAGCTTCACTGGTGGGATTAATGGACCAGAATTTGAGATCATGTTTTTATAACTCAGAAACCCCATCTCTTAATCACTGCACCAAGGTATGGACTTGTGAGGAGGACTTGCGCTAAATCACGGGAGAAAGTTTAGGTATTTTTTCCCATAAGGTTGTCCTAGACAATTGTGTTTAAAGATCCAAAATTAATTGAAAAATTGTTTTGAGATTTAATTATATCACTGATGGTTATGTAACTCATATTAAATTTAAATTATATGACTTTTTTCTTGCTATATTATAGTGAGAAATACCATGAGAAATACCAGTTCATCAAAATGCAGAGAAAGCTTCCACTACCTCTGTACCCTTCCCACACCACTCGCCCCACTTCCCTCTCATTAGACTAGGTATGATTAGTTCCCTTACCACTATCGCAAATACTTAACAGTCTGCTAACAGTGCCCTTCTTATTCAACCTCCAGTGTATATTCTGATTTAAATCACCTTTCTGGCTGTAGCTGTCCCTTATAGGCTTACACTCTGGCAATCTCTCTTTACCTCAGTCCCACTCTACTTCACAGTGCCCTCAGTCCCACCCCCACACTTCCTGACCAAGACACACATGGACATCCCCATTCTCTGCTTTCACAGAACTCAAATTTCCTTAAACAATACGTTTTTTAAAACTGCTGTGCCTTTGCTCTTGCTCTTTCAGTGCCCTTCCTACTTTTCTCTGTTGTCAACCTGGGAAAATCCTACTTATCCCTCAAGTGGCAATATAAATGTCACTTTCTCTGTGAAACCATTCCCATCTTCTCCAGGAGAGGCAAATGTTCACAACGTACCTTTTGACTCTCAAAACATTTTAGGTCTTTGGTAGAGTCCTTAAAATAGTAGTCATAGTTCATTTTCTTTCTGCCTGTTTTCCCTGCTCCTGATCGGGAGCTCCTAGAAAGTTAGATCATTATGGGTTATTTATCTTTTATCCTTATTTAGCACCTACATGTAATAGCTTCTTAATGAATCATACCGAATTGTTACTGATATTGATAAATAACCTTTATTAAGTGCATCCTGTGTCTTAGGCACTGTGCTTAATGGTTATAAGCATTATTTTATTCAATCTTCATACATATCCTATGATACAGAGATAATTATTACCCCATTTTGCAAATTAGGAAATTGAAGTTAAGAGAGGCAGAACAACTTAAGCAAGGTAATACAGCGGGAAGGTGATGGAGTTAAGATTTGAACCCAGAGTGTCTGCCTCCAAAGCTCATTCTGCTTTACACCAATAGGAACCATTCATTCATTCGTTCATTTGTTTATTCTCTAGGGAGTACAACCAGAAGGTACATTCTCTATTGAGACCATCTCTGGATGGCTAAGGAGGAGGTCATCAAAAGGATGAGTGAGGTCCCTTTGGGCAGGTTTGAGGATCATTTGAATGATCTCATTTGCTCACAGAAGGAGGTTCAAAGGAATCTACTTTGATCACTACTGATAAAGTTAGGCTGAGAGACTGCAATACCTGGAAAAATAACATTAACACATTGTTTTTGCAATGAGTGGATGAGAAAAAGAGAAAAGGCATTGTTTGAAGAATGATATGGATCAACAAATTCCAGATCTACGCTCTTACAGGGGAGAAAACCAAGGTCTAAGTTAATTAAACAACTTGCCCAAGGGCAAATAGCTAGTAAGTAATAGAGCTTGGTCTAGAATCCCAATTTCCTGAGTCCCAATTCAGTGCCTTTTCCACCATGGTGTGCTTTGTGTTAGAATTGCTGTGCTCGTGTTTGCAGGAAAAATGCTAGACCAAGGCAGAAATGAGTATTTGAAGGAAACAGCTTGATGCTTTTGGAATTGGTCAGCTTTTGCCTAAGACCCGCTGCTATTTTGGGGCTCTCAGTTTGCTCAGAACTAAATACTGCCAGCCATACAAATAGAAAAGCAAGGCTATTATTTAGGCCTCCCAGGTCTGTGCATTCACTTCTCTGCTTGCAAGGGCAAATTATCAGTTCATCTTCACTGGGCAGTTTGAACATCGGATTATGTTGGCCCTTGTCTTAGCCCTTAGATGTCCATTGGTTTGTCTTTGTTACAATAAATGCACAATCTATGCTTTCAGGTTGGGAGAGAAGAGGGAAAAAGAAAGAAATCTAAATCTGTCTGTATTAGTGATGATTTCTAATGCTGTTGTTTTTTGTTTGTCTTTCAGGGCGATGAGGAAGGACCCAGGTAAGATCACATTATTGCTGCTGGTCTGTTCTCAGAATTGAAGGAGAGTGATATTTGTGGCCTTTTAATGCTCCCTAAAATATGGACAGCCAAGCAACAGCACAGAAAAGGAATCTCTACCTTAAGCCTGGGCTTTGAAGATCTTATTTTGTAAGAGTCCCATCTCCCTCCGCATCTATGTCATTTCCTGCCTGTAACCTTCAGATAAAGGTAGACTTTAAAGTATGTAATGATAGTAACTTTGCTATATTCTGTAGCACATTCAGAATACCTTGTTAAGAAAAGTAGGCACTACATTTGAATGGTAATTAGGCTATCTGGTGGACTGACTAGATAAATTTTGCATTGTTCTTTCTTGATTGGAATTGGATTGCTTTTTTTTTTTCCCCCCCAAGTGGGCTCTGGATCTAATATTCTTTATTTCTGACCTATAATATCTTTATGTCTAACCCAAGACACCTATATAATGAACCCTAGGGCATAGATACAGACAACTTGTTTAGGGAAAAAAATGTTTCTTTGTGCTTCTGTATCACCATAGTTGGATAAATTTTAAAAGTACATTTTATTATTGCCTCAGCCTTTCAGTGAACCTGGACTTTGGTTTACTTACCTTTCCTATCATTCTGCTCCAGCAGTGAGAATAAACTCCAGGAAATGCTGCAGCTGTGCCATCAACACAATTGAGGGGTATTTGTATAAAGAAAAATGCAATGTCTGGCCAGGTCCCATCTGTTGGAAAGGATCGAGGACTGTTAAGGCTGGGAAGTATCACACTGGCCATCCAGGCCACTTCTGTTCAAACTTTATTTTTAGCAGAAGCACCTTTTTTTTCAAATGGACTTTTAAGTAGAACCTCAATGTGTAGATAATAATTTTTCTTTAGTTAAAGTGAGGCCGCATTCCTTTGGGGAACCTTTTCTCTTTATCACAGTAGACCCCAAGGGGCTTCTGTAGATACCTAGGGTTCCTCAGAATTCAGTTTGAAAATCACCAATCTAGTTCAAGGATCTCATTAAAAGAAAATAAATGAATTGTCCAAGGTCACCTTACTGGAGCCAAGATTTGGCCCTTTGGTTTTATTTACAAACCTATACCTTCTTTCTCTCTAATCCAGCGCCCCTTTCTTAGTGCCAAATGTTATCCCAACATCTGCATCTCTTGGTGTATCCTTCCCTTGGAAGTTGGTTCTCAACCTCTACTCTAGAACTGCAAGAATCTATCCAGCTCTACTGTGACTAAAGCCACAGGCGCACCCTGCTTTAAACCTACATAATCTCGGAGGACCCCTTCAAACTTCATCTTCCAATAATTCCCAGGCTCCTTTTGTGTTGTGGTTTATTTCCTTCCTTCTTTCCTTCCTCTTCCCTCCTTTTATCCCTCCCTCCCTTCTTTCTGTCCACTTAAGATATTTGTGACCCTACGTTGTGTCTAGTACTATGCTATAATGTATCATGGTGACTAAGGCAGACATGGTCCCTATCCTTGTAGATCCTAAGTCTAGTGGGATAGGCAAGCATGTACACGGACACTTACACTGTGGGGGAAGTGCTATGAAAAGGGAAGTTTAGGCTGCTTTAGGAAGAGCTCCTAAGTGAGTCTTGGAGGATAAGGGGAGGCTTACTAGAAAAGGTTATATATAAACAGAGGTCTGAAAGATGAGAAGGTAGGCAAAGGAGGAACAGGGGTGGATTGTTCTAGGTAGAGGAAACAATTTGTGTAAAAGCTCCAGACAAGAGTGGAAGAAACCCAGTAGAGCAGAGCCCAGATCATTTAGGGCCTTCATAAAGCATTTGAGCTCTATCCTGAAGGCAGTGGATAGAATTTTAAACAGGAATTAACCTAGGCAGGTTTGGATTTTAGAAATCTTTCCTGCCTACAAAATAGAAAATGAATTGGAGGTGGGTCAGGAGCCTGGGAAACTAGTTAGACTAGTCTAGCAATGATGGGAACCTAAATCAATATATTCTCTAGTTAACGGCCAGGTTTTTACTATTTTGCACAGACCTTTGGTTTAAACACACTCTTTTAAACTATCTTGTTGACGTTCTAGCTCTTCCACTCTGAAGATTGGCTCTAGGTCCTTAAAATTCAAGCCAGGCAGAGCACTAGACCTTCTACCCCAGAAAGAGAGTTCAAACAAGACCATGATAAAGAAAATACTATAGCAGAGGTAATATGCAGGCTCCACAGGGTAGCAGTGGCATTTCTGTCTTGGGACATCCTGTTTGGGATAAACATACTCATCTTGTCTTTTTGGCCACATGCCAGAGTCACAATGATTAGAAAAATATAAGGACCTTATGAAGAGATTAATTCCCTTCACAGATACTGTTCAGTGTGAGATATTGACTTTAGAGTTTAATTGCAGATACCTTTGTGTCATTTTGACAAAATAGTGGAGAGGCATAGAGGTTCTTTACTAGCAACCAGGATGTCAGGCTATCTCCCTCGAGCCAGGCTGCCATGGATGTCAGCGGGGAGTCTGCTGGACTGGGACTTGATAGAACCCTTTTTGGTACAATGAGCACTTGAAGAGTATATTCCAATTTGGCAGAAAGATGGAAGAGGAGTCGGATTTTGTTTTTAACCTTTAAATTCATACTTGTTGGTTCCATTCAGTTAATTTGTATTGAACTACCATTTGGCTCAATTTATTCCAATTAACACGTCAGGGCAGATGGCTTTTGATCTGAGATTTTTCTCACTTATGATATACACCTTACCATTTCAACAAGCCAAACAGAATTTTGTTCCAAAGGCTTCTGTTTTGCTGACAGTATTAAATGAGGATTTGATGTATAAGATAGGCAGAAAGGAAGTGTGGGTCTCCTTACACAGGGGCTGGATGAGAAATGAATCTGGAGACCCTGGGTTCCAGTTCTGTTTGGGTCAGTATACCTGTGTCTCCTTTGCTAGCATTCTTTCCACATAGCCACTTCTCTACTATCTACACAAAAGTCCAGGGAAAATTAAGTTCCAACCAGTCTCCCCAGTGGAAGGACAAAGAATAATTTCTGTCCTATGGAAACATATTTCTCTATAATAGATCTTCCTCCTTTTCTACCAGCTGAAGTCTTCCCGCCTTCTTCCCTCCTTTCTGTTTTGATTTCCCAAGCAGTTGATATGAGAGGACCAAGTATTGTGCTTTCAGTCATGTCTGTTCCTTGTCCTGAATTTTATTGTGTAGTCATCCTGTTAATTAATCATAGCACCCATTTATTGAAGGTTTATTATGTCCAATGTGCTTTATATATATTCTCATTTAATCTTCATGCAAAGCTTATGATTATTCCACTTGTCAAATGAGGAAATCAATGCTCAGAGAGATTAACTTGTCTTAGATCACACAGCTAATAAGTGGCAGAGCTGGGACTTGCATCTGTCTGGCTTCAGGGCTCAACCACCAAATGCCCTTAACCACCATTTAGACTATCTCCAAGAGGCCAGCACTCTTCTCTTTGTGACCCTGTATGAAAGCCAAGAGGATTCACACAGTCCTCAGAAAGATCACTTAGGTCTTTTCCTTTAACCTGGGAGTTCTTATAATTGCTTTGACATTGAATTGCTGTGGTCTCTGTTTTCTGCAAGCTGCTTCCCCTCTCCTTAGCTTCTGTCATTATAAAGGAATATTTCTTCATCTTATTCTCACAAAGTATCCTCTGAGGGTTAGCAACAAAATGGGTGCTCCCTGAGGAGCAGCCAGCCAAGCTTTCCATTGACCCTACAGAATAGCTGCCTATTGCTTCTCCATCTGGTAGCTCAATCCTCAAATCCATGATACACAGTCATGGAGCTGGCAAGGATTCTCTGAGGGTGTGGAAGAACAAAAATCCTAACATGTAGAGCATGGGCATTAACTTCTATGGAGTCATCTTTTAAGAGGGTGGTCTTTGAAGCTCAGAGTGATTTTTTTTTTCCAGGCAAAAAAGCAATTTACACTTTTGGCAGCAATTTTCTGTCTTCTCTATGCTATTATGGGAGATCTTATGTTCACTCCCTCACAGATTGGCTCCTTTTCTACTCCTGCCTGAGCCTGCTGAGAAGTAATATGTATTCGAGGAGAGGGGGTGGCAATAGGATCTGTTGGCGTAAAAGCTATTGTGTAGTGGGAGGAAGTCAGAGAGAAAAACTCTTAAACTCTTGTGTTCAGAGAAGGAGCAAGATCAGGATTAAATTTTGATTTGCTATTGAGGTTTTCTGTGATTTTTTTTTTTTTAAACTAAGAAGAAAATGGCTTTTTAATAGTAACAGCCATACTTGGAACTTCTGTAGAATTTTTCATCTTCAAAGCTGGCTATTATTCGGGCAAAAAGCTCCTGCTGAGATCAGTGTGAATCTGACCCATGCTGATTCTGTGATTAAACAGGAAGCATGTTTTGAAGGAGTAGGAGCTGAAGGAGAGTCAGCAGACCTACCTTCTATTCTTGGTTCTGCCCGTGACTGACTGTGTGACCTTTGGCAAGTCATTTAACCTCCTGGTACTCTGTTTTTATTTCCATGAAATATTAACCTCATTACCCCCCACCCCTACCTCTGCCTAGTTTTGGAGGTATAATTATCAGGAGGAATACAAATCTTGTGTCAAATATGGAGTGAAAAGAATCTGTGTATAGATTTTATAATTTGATAGATTTTTTTTTTTAACCTTTTCAGTTTTGTTTCTTTAAAAATTATCCAGAGGCTATATGCTAGGTACTCTTTTTTTCCCCTCTAAATGAATAACCATATGTTCCTGAGATACGGCCTTTCTCTTTCTGACTACCTAGGTTGTAGAGAGAAGAGAACTAACTCAGTAATACCCTTAGGTTTCTTTTGTCTTCATTTTCCTGATTGCAAATTCATGGTTTGGTTGTTGTATTGGCTTCATTTCTGGAGGGCTATGTGGAAGCCAAAGAAAATGGCTGTGATAGTTGTGACATGGAATGAAACTATCAAGACTGCTTATTATGCAGAGTGGGGTTCCAATATCTGTGTTGGCTTTTGGCATAAAGAGTCCC